TTCCCATCAAAACTGTACGAAAATGTTTGTTTCGTTTAGTTTGTCTTGTTTTTCATGGAATTTTTTAAAGACTTTCGAGCATAAAAACGCTTGATATTTTTGGATAGTGAGTTAGTAATAATCTAAATATCTCCACCTAATCCTTATTAATATATCCCTCTTAGTTCACACAATCCCTCTTATTCCCTCCAACTCCCCATTAACTTTTCTTACTACTAAATTGGGGATATAAGGGGGAATTTGAAGGGATCAAGAAAGATATCAGGGTAATTGGAGGCAAATATTTGAATTTTATCAAATATTTAATGCTTTTTGACAATGTACAACCTCGAGAAACATCATTTCTTAATAAAAATTTATTTTCAATTTTCTTTCTCGTTTCGTTGAGAAAGAAATTTTATTTTCATGCAGCTCTGATTCTCATGTACCAAACAAATTTTCTTACAGTAAGAAAATTAAAACAAATTTTTTTTTAATTTTTTGCTAAAATAATTGTTAAATTAATTATAATATTTTTTTTATTTTATTTAAATTTTTATTTTTCAATGTTTTTTTAGTTTTATGCAAAAAGCTGTGTTGTTTTATGAAGGTTTTAATTATGCCACTATTGGCGTTGTAAAAATTACAATTGTAACTAAACAGATTAATTTAAGACGATAAAGCGCCCCCATGTATTTACAATTATATCAGTTCATCATAGAGTATTGTAAAGCATACATATAGCTATTTAATTCCTAAGGCTATGCAGTAGGCGGCGTGGTGTAGTCCGGTCTACTGAAGATGCTGGTTCGCTCCCAGCTGCCTAATAACCTTTTCCACTAGCTAAAGGAGAGAAATAGCTATAGCAAAGCTGCTTTGCTTTATTAACTAAATTTACGAGGCTAATGCTAAAATAAAGAAATCGGGTGATGGCACCATCAACAAATTCATTAAGCTAAAAAACATTAAGCTAAAGAAACTTTTAGTATTTTCTTTGTTTTCCGGTATATTTTTTAATTTTATTTTTTTAAATAATTACAAAACATTTATTTTTCAAAAATTTTATTCTAATTTCATTCTAAACTCAAAGATCTATTTAATATATTGTATAGTTCTATCCGGCATTGAAGTTTCTGGCATTGGAGCAACTTGATTAATATTTGAATTATTTTTGCATCGAAAAATTATTTGTCTGTAATTTCTTACACTCAAAATTGTTACCTTTTAAATTTATTATTTTTAATTAAAAAAATAATAAATAAACTCACAATAGGATTTAAAACAGCAACTAAAGATGCCAAACTACAATTAAAGAATATTGCAATAGATGATGAATAGAATCCAGGCAAATTAAATAAAAAATGTAGATTATTAGATAAGGTAGTGAGATAAGATAATATAGGTAGAATTGCCTATAAATAATAAAATAAAGGAATTATTTAGAGATGTCCAAGACATCTCTCGGTCACCTAAAACTTCTGTAAATTTTCGATCTTGGATGTCAAAAGAAATAATCAGAAGTCTCCGAAAAAGTAAGGGTCAATTTTCCAATTTTATCAGGTCAATTTTTCTAATCACATAAATTGATTTCATCATAGGCTTAGACTTACAGTCGTCGACATAAAGATAGGGACAAGAGTAATTTAAATGAAAATTAACTATTTCTAGGTCAAAAAATACGTTCTATATAGCAATCGAAAGCTCTATTCGTATCTCAGTTGACATGTTTCTGCATTTTTCATGAAATTGAAAATTGACCGAGATAATCCGGATCTACCGGATATACCAAATCCCACATCCTCGGAAAAATTTTTCTGGAAAAATTTAACAAACCCATTTGATAAAGCATATTTTTCTGGGTATTTACCACAAAAGCGCTTAAAGATATCTTTTTCCGGACCAGAGATATGAATTTTTGAAAATGGCATTTTTCCCTTAAAAATTGAATTTTTTGCAAAAATAGGCTAAAAATGCCATTTTCAAAAAATCATATCTCTGGTCCGGAGAAAGATATTTCTAAGCGGTTTTGTGGTAAGTACTCACAAAAATATGCTTTATCAAATGGGTTCGTTAAATTTTTTCCGAAAAATTTTTCCGAGGATATAGGATTTGGTATATCCGGTAGATCCGGATTATCTCGGTCAATTTTCAATTTCATGAAAAATGCAGAAATATGTCAACTGAGATACGAATAGAGCTTTCGATTGATATATAGAACGTATTTTTTGACTGAAAAATAGTTAATTTGCATTTAAATTACTCTTGTCCCTATCTTTATGTCCATTACTGTATATTTTTATACTCATCCGAAACTTATAACTCTTTAAATTTTAAAACTTTTTAGGCGTCCAAAATAACACATTATTTACCTGTGCCCCCAAAACAATACTCATTTGTTTATTCATATTACGTAATTGAGTCATTTGTACACCTTTACAATGACGATAAACATGTATTTGAATACTTATACCACAAAAAATAATTATTATATAATTAATTATTGTTAATGCTGAAGCATAATTTGCAGTAAAAATTGATAGGTCGCTAGTCTGAAAATTAAAAAAAAATTTTTCAAGTGATTTGGATGAAATTTTATTGCGACAGGTTTTCCAAGACTTCATTTTCGGTCGATTTATATGATTGAAAAAAGATTTATTATTTTGTCATTGCTTATTTTGTGCTTCAGAAAGTGTACTTATGAAATTCAAATAAGCGAAGGGATCATTTGAATCCCCATTGAATCCCCAAATCATTTGAATCCCCATCGCACATAGAAAAATCCCAAAAAAATATTTGTCCTGTTTTGCCCTTGTACTGAATTGGGTCATGAATTTGGATTTTCGCTAAATGCATAACCTACTCTTGATCTCATTCCAACAGCATAATTTTCAATTGTGTAATTATCCAATCCTAATGTTTTTGCCAACTCAAGATTTGTTAAATGTTCAGTTTCTGGTGTTGGGTAGTTTGAAATACAAGAAAAAATATATAATATAAATATTGGAATTATCATTCCAATACTTAGTTTTAACTGGTGTTTAAATTTAACATCAAGACCACTACATAAAAGTTTTATTTAATAAATTATTTGAAGGTTTACCGAACAACAGCAAAATAACGATAAATAAATAATGTAGAGACGTTCATTGAAGTAACTCTCATCATAAAATTATTGAAAATTAAAATTACAAATTGCCAAGGATTTGGTAAGTAATGTATAGGTCCGTAATTCCAAGTTGTGCCGACACCATTATCAGAAACATAAACCTATTTTTAGACGAAAAAATTACTTTTCTCACGCCAAAACATTCCCGCGCCCAAACTTCAAATATTTACCGGTTGAGAAACAACAAACATACAAATCCCAACAATATCAACAAAACAAGTTTGTAAAAGTATTTTGCTATAAACTTGCATTTCTTTCATTGTATAACGTAAAATTAGCCAAATTAAAAACAAATTAGAAAACAATCCAAATGTAGCAAAACAATAAATTATTGTTGAATATATTTCTCTTATTAACATCTTTAGGTATTTTCTTCTTAAAACAATATATTATATACAGTGTCAAATTAAGATAATGGGATCAAATAAAATTTAAATGAAAAAAATAAGGAACAAATTCAATCAAGAATTATCGAAGTTCCCTTCCCTTTGCTTCTATACTGAGTTGAAGACATGTGGAATAATTTTGGGTAATAGTTCGCACTTCCTTGAGTGACCAGCCTTACAAATCTATAGCTTTATGAGCAGGAGCCAACTCCTGCTGAAAGATCCAATCCCTATGACAAAAGAAGCTTCGAAGGTTCATTAGACTTATAACAATTATGAGAGCCGAGACATTTTTTTCTAACATTATTTGTAATTTTTTATACCAAACACAACTTTATTTAATTCTAAGAAAATTAAAATGAAAAAAAATTTTTAGTTAATTATCCCACACTTTTTTAACTTTAAACATGTTTACATTAATTTATTTTATACTCATTTTAAACTTTTATAATTTATTAATATTCTCATGAAAAGTCCAATTTCGTTAAATACCGTATATTGTTATATAAACAATTTTTCATACCCGCTGACGTCAAACAATTCTCGATAATGGCAGGGTTATATTTGGCGCAAGGTGAGGAGTATCTTGTAACCCTACAAATATTTTTCCTCTTTATACGTTTCTATATTACAAAATATTTAAATTTCAAAAATTTTATTCAAATTATATTTTAAAACAAAATATAATAATTATTTAATATATTGTATAGTTCTATCCGGTATTGAAGTTTCTGGCATTGGAGCAACTTGATTAATATTTGAATTATTTTTGCATCGAAAAATTATTTGTCTGTAATTTCTTACACTCAAAATTGTTACCTTTTAAATTTATTTTTTTAAGTTTAAAAAAATAAATAATCATACAATAGGATTTAAAACTGTAACTAAAGATCCAAGACTAGAAGTGAAGAATATCATAATAGATGATGAATATAACCCAGGCAAATTAAATAAAAAGTTTAAATTGGCAAATAAATTGGAAATGTATGTTATTAAAGGCAGAACAGCCTAGAAATTTAAACATTACAGAGAAGGGATTCTGGGGCGGATTCTAAAAACGTGGTAGAATTACCTGTTAGTTACACGTTTTTTCTCTAAATTTCAATGTAATATTTACATTTAAACATTACCTACTTGTTCTAGTTGTATTTTTATTTGATTTAAGTTTGGGGATTCTTGTGAATCTTTTAATATCAAGATCCGATATCCTAAGGGAACTTTATCAAAGCTGGGGATATAATCTGGTCTATTTGATCTCTCTTTTTTTAGTGCCTTAAAAACAAATTATTATTTTATAATTTGAGTAATATTAGGGTGGTCCATTGGTGTTGTTGGACGTTGGAGGGAATTCGTAGAAAAACGGGGTTAAAAACGAGGCATTAGAAGCATTCGCTTCAAATTCGACTTCAGAGAGGGGTCGGGAGAGTCGCTTTAGAATGTTGAGAGGGTCGCTCTAGTGAAGACGGTCGTTAAGATAGAGGAATCGGAATTCCGACCCGCCTCTGATGTACATATAGCTTTACCTGTGCCCCTAAAACAATACTTATTTGTTTATTCATATTACGTAATTGAGTCATTTGTACACCTTTACAATGACGATAAACATGTATTTGAATACTTATTCCACAAAAAATAATTATTATATAATTAATTATTGTTAATACTGAAGCATAATTTGCAGTAAAAATTGATAGGTCGTTAGTCTAGAATTTTTTTTTAAAAATCTGAAATTATTTTAAATTAATTTACTCTTGTTCTTTGTCCAACAACATAATTTTCAATTGTATAATTATCCAATCCTAACAATTTTGCCAACTCAAGATTTGTTAAATGTTCAATTTCTGGCATTGGATAGTTTGATATAAATGAACAGACATTTAAAATTAGTAACGGAATTACCATAGAAAAAATTAATAACAATTGGTGTTTAAATTTAATATCAACTTTACTAAATAAAAAGTTTTTATTTTAAAAATTATCCTGGATTTACCGAACAACTACTAAATAGCGATAAATAAATAATGAAGTAACATTCATAGAACTAAATCTTGCCATAAAAGTGTTAATACGGTAAAGAATATACTGCCAGGGATTTGGTAAGAAATGTATAGGTCCGTAATTCCAAATTGTGCCGACACCATTATCAGAAATATAAACCTATTTTTAATAAGACAAATTACCGTAAATGCTCTAATAGAACCACACTCCCTATTTGAAGCACACTCCCTAATATAAGCACACCCCTTGTGTATTGGCAGCAAAAAAGCAAATTATCATTTTTTAGTTATATTTAGGTCATATAAAAAGGATTAAGGGAGATATACCCAAAAACCGGTACCCAAAACTTATATACAGAAATCCGATACCTCTAAAATCCGATACCCTCTAAAGAGTTTATGTGATTAAGAGAGATATTGGTGATTTTGCGCATTGAAAGGTATCAGGGGATTTTGTAGATTAAGATTGAAATTAGGAGATTTGATAGATAAAATGTGATATCATGTGATATCATTAGAAAAGTTATTACAATTTGTGAATATAATTGAAATTTAATTTTTGTTTTGTTTTATGTGAGGTTATATGTAAATGGATTTCTGGGCTCCAAAATTATATATTAATTTATGTTAGGTATATATTTTCATTAAAAAATTGAAAATAGATCGAAAAATAAAAGCACACTCTCTATTTGAAGCACACTCCCTAATATAAGCACACCCTACGAGGGGATCGAAAAATAGAAACACATGTGGTTTTATTAGAGCATTTACGGTAATTTTAATTAAAAATAAATGCCCCTCAGAAATACAAAAATTTAGCAAAGTTATAGTCAATCACGCCAAAACATTCCCGCGCCCAAATATTTATTTACCGGTTGAGAAACAACAAACATACAAATCCCAACAATATCAACAAAACAAGTTTGTAAAAGTATTTTGCTATAAACTTGCATTTCTTTCATTGTATAACGTAAAATTAGCCAAATTAAAAACAAATTAGAAAACAATCCAAATGTAGCAAAACAATAAATTATTGTTGAATATATTTCTCCTATTAACATTTTTCTTCTTAAATAAAGAAGAGAATGTTTTATGTTTGAAACAAATTTAGTTTATTTGTATGACGAACATTGTTTAATTAACTTAATTTGTTTTTACAGCATGTTTTAATGTTTTTATTGAAAAATATGTTTGGGAACATGTTTTTAGTAAATGTTTTTGGAATGTTTTATTTTTACGAAAATGTTTTAGGTTTCCAAAACATTTTATGTTGCTTAGAAAAATGTTTATTGAAAATTTGTTCGTAAGACATGGTACAAATAAAAATAATTTCAAACCACAAATTTTTAAAATTCATTTTATTTCGACAAAATCTCGTGACAAATTTATAAAATCGTATCGAAAAATTGTTAAATCAAATCCTAATAAATACCCTCAACAATCTTTCTCACGTAGATATCTTTCACCACCCGAACTTAAATTACTCTATTCCCTTAGGAAACAAGCTTTTAATGCAAATTTAAATTGTAAATTATATAAATACATTGTTGTAGACTTAAGTATTATTGAATTATCTGACCCAAAACCACTCCGCAACAGACAGCCATAGGTAATTTTAGACAATCACAAAATTAATTGTTATAGTAAAATTAATAGTATTCCCTGTATTCTTTTAAACGCTCGATCATTAATAAGAAAAATTAGTGATTTATATTTTTTAATAGAAAATCAATCACCAAAACTAATATTTATTACGGAAACATGGATAAAAGACAATTCTATTTCAGAAAATGAATTATCTATAAACAATAAATACCATATTATATTAGCAAATAGGAAAGTCAAACTTGGGGGTGGATGTGCTATACTTATTTCTACAGAAATTCCATATCAGACCATTTTTTCTGGTTCCAAATATCAATGTGAATTTTTAAGTATAAATATATTCTTACCAAAGAAAACAAATTTATGTTTAATTTACCGCCCTCCTAACTGTAAACCCGCAAATACAGAAAAAATTTTAAAGTTCATATCTAATAACCTCAGTGAAAATTTTATATTTTGTGGTGATTTTAATATACCCAAAGTGAATTGGACAAATTTACAAACAAACTGTCCCAATGGGAAAATTTTATTAAATTTTCTTTATCAAACAAATTCTTTTCAACACATTAATCAATCTACCAGGAATGAATCTAAATTAGATCTTGTCTTTTCTTCCCCTGAAAAACTTGTTCAAAATATAAATATTTTGGAACCTTTCTCTAATTCTGACCATAATATGATTTCATTTCAAATAAACTCAAAAATTCACATTAATAAAATTAGAAAAAAGATTTTAAGAAGAAATTTATCATCAAAAAATTTTAAACTATTAAATAAAGCATATGCAACTGTCAATTGGCACAATGAACTTTCATATTACTTTAATGTAGATTCAAAATATAAAGCCTTAATCAACATTATTCTATATCTATACAATTCTATTATTCCTCTCAAACCACTTAAATCTATTATTAAAGAAAATTATCCTAATAGTATTAATACATTATCTAACCGAAAACATAAACTATATAAAGAATTAAAAGAAGATCCTAAAAACAATGATTTAAAACTTAAATATAAAATTATTTCTAGACAACATAGGAAACAAATACATAACTATTATGATGAAAAAGATAGATTACTTATTTCAAAAGGAAAATCAGCAATTTATAAATTTTTTAAAAATAAAATAAATCCTATAGCCCCAATTCCAATTATTTCTGATGAAAATGAATTTATCTATAAAAACACTATTGATAAATGTAACATTTTTGGACATACATTTCAAAAATATTATACAAAAACAAATTCTATATCATTAGCTAATATAGCTCACATAAATGAAAGTAAAATAAAATTAAATGACTTAAACTTTACGGTTATAGAAATATTTGAAGCATTAAAAAATGCTCCGAATAGAAATTCTACTTCACCAGATTCTATTCCATACATACTATTAAAAAACTGTGCATTAACTCTTGCTCCAATCTTAACAGAACTTTTTAGACAAATTCTCGATGATGGAGAAATCCCAGAAATATGGCGACAATCCATAATTATTCCTATATTTAAGAAAGGTGACAAAACAATTGCAAAAAACTATAGACCTATATCACTCACATGCACTTTATGCAGAATATTCGAAAGAATACTATCTGACAAAATTATAATTTTCCTTCACGAATATTTTAATGTAAATCAATTTGGATTTCTTAAAAATCGTTCAACTATAACACAACTGCTCACAATGTTAGACGATATTTACATTAATATTGATAAAGAAAAAAAAGTCGATATTATCTACATTGACTTCGAAAAAGCCTTTGATACAGTACCTATAAATATATTAATACAAAAAATTAAATTAGCTGGTATAGATGGAAAAATACTTAAATTTCTGACAAATTTCCTAACAAAAAGAACATTTCATGTGAAGATAGATGATGAACTTTCAAATAAATATGAAACTCATTCAGGAGTCCCACAAGGCAGTGTACTTGGACCTCTTTTATTTATCTTATTTATTAATGACTTACCTAAAATTCTTCCTAATGAAGTAAATATTAAAATATATGCTGATGATGTTAAATTATATATAATTCATAATAACGATATCTGTAGGAATAAATTATCAGAAAGTCTCAATCTTATACAATCATGGTCAAAAAACAATGGAATGAAAATCTCAATTAATAAATGCTTTTGTCTTTACCTTGGTAAAGACAATAATGAATATCAATATTACCTAGATGATCAACCAATTAAAAAAGAACACAGTATACGTGACTTAGGAGTTATTATCGATAAAAATTTATCATTTTCTAATCAAATAGATAAAATAACCAAACAAGGATATTTTTTAATACATCAAATATTCCGCACTTTTAAATCACGAAATCTTAACACTTTGATTTTCATATATAAAACATATTTACGTCCATTATTAGAATATGCTACAGAAATATGGAATCCAATGAGAAAAGATCAAATAAAAACTCTTGAAAAAATCCAAAAATTATACACTAAAAAAGCATTTTATAAATGTGGTCTTGTGCAGAAACCATATGAAGATAGGCTAAAAATTTGCAAACTAAAAAAACTCGAAGAAAGAAGAATTCTTACAGACCTTTGTATGACACATAAAATTCTTAAAAATTACACTCATTTGGAACCAGAAAAATATTTCACTTTAACTAAACGGGCAAAAAGAAGGGCTTTACTTTTACAAAATAGACCCTTTTCAAAGAAATCAAAAAATAACTTTTTTTACCCGAGTAATATCATTATGGAACAAACTTCCAAAAGAAATAGTTGAAATTAATAATTTAAAAAAATTCAGGGAATATACAAAAGAAATAGATTTACTAAGGCTGTCTGGAGTGGAGTAAATAAAATTTTTTATATATTTTATTAATTTTCTATTTTTTTATGTTTTAATTTAGTTATTTTTATTATTGACATTTTTATTTTTTTTATCACATTAGTGTACAAATATGTACCTGTGATTGTCTTATAAATAAATAAATAAATAAATAAATAAGACATGTTTTAGAGAAATACCTATATTTGTTAAAGTTTTTCGTAATAGTTAGGTAACTTAGTGTACTGAGTTCAAATTATTTATTCCGAATCTCGGATCCAAATTCAACAAAAAACGTGCCAATTTTTTAATTTCTAAATTGAATTCGCCTTGTCGAATTTCAGTTTCGGCTTCGAAAGAACTTAACCGGTTTTGGGATTTCAAAATTTTTGCGATTTTTATCTCGGATCGGGACTACCGGATCCCGAAAATCTGGTTCAAAATCTGGTCCGGTTCGAACTCGTTTTTAGGTTTGTTAAACATTTTATTAATATATTTTACAAGCTATGACAAATTTTAGACTTGTCAATAATTAAAATAAAAACTTGTCGTCAAACTTTTATAAAACAGTTAACTTATACGTGTGCCAATTAATTCGAAAAATTTTTAAACAATTTATATTTAAGCTCATAATTTATTTATTTAATTATTGTTTACAATTAACTTTAAAAAAATTTTTTTCTTGACTGATTGCCAGGTGTAAAGTTTTTTAATAAAAAGATTATTTTTAAGAAAAAATTATTTTCTTAATTATTTAAAGTCTAGAAAAATGTTAAAATATGAGAAATAAATGGCACTTATCGGTTATACGCCCACAAACTGAGTCCCAGCCGGATTTGATCGGCTCTAACTTTTTTGAGCTTACTACAATTCAAATAAAGCTTATATCATTCGAAAGCCCTCGATAAGAGGAATACTTTTTCCAGCTTAAAGGATCAACTCTGATCACTTTTTAAAAATCGAGGGCTTTCGAATGATATAAGCTTTATTTGAATTGTAGCAAGCTCAAGAAAGTTAGTCAATCAATGTCGGATGGCAGAACAGCTAATACTTTCAGTTTGTAGGCGTATAACCGATAAGTACTAAATAAATCTTTCGGTTATTCGATTTAGTTCTTAAGAAAACGAATGATTTCTAGCTTCCTAGCCTACTAAAATTACATAAATTTTGGTCTACAACGCTAAAAATACAAAGAAATTTTAACGTAAAATTATTTTTAATAAAAAAAGAAAACAATAATTTTAATAAAAACAAAAAAAAAACAATTTTTAAAAATAAATAGTTTTAACTATTAATTTTTTCAACAAAAATTGGCAAGCAAAAATTCACAGTTTTGATTCATTTCTTTAACAGAACAATTAATACTTTCATTTAACCAATTTAATATTCTATCCTTCATTAAATTATTTATAGAACCACGAATTGGCTTTAAAAAAATAAATTTTTAAATATTAAAAGAAGAAAATGCCCTAACCCACGCTCCAAAAATATATTTTAAAATGGAAGAATATCTAGTAAAGGTTTTATGTAAAAACATTGAGTCAGTGGGGTCAGTCTATTAAGTAATTAAAACCAACTTAGAAGCATTGGGAATGGAACTTGGCAAAATATCGGAAATTATAATTCCTACTAAGGTTGTCGGATAGATGGAAATCTTCGGATATTCTGACCGGGATCTGATATCCGAACCGAAAGTTTCCGAATATCAGGTCTTTTTTCGGATCAGGATCCGACAACCCTAATTCCTACCCCCTACTTCCAATGATAATCAAAAATGTCATAGATAACCTAAATACTAAAAGAATTTAAAATATTGAAATGTCGAAAAAGCTCTCTATATAAGTGAAGGTCACTTCTAAATTTAGTAAAATATATTTTTGTGGGAATCTATAAGACACCAAAACTATCCAATAAAATTTAAAAAACACCTCAGGTATAATCTCCATAATTTCGTTTAATTTCAAATTATTTTCAATTTGTTGTTTATTAAAGTCAACAACAAAATTTTTAGTTAAAAATAGCCTAATTCGCTTTAAACATCCTCCAATTGGTTGGATGGCCCGAGCACGTAAAGAATTTAAAAATGAAGAATTATTTATTGTTTTTTCACTTCTTTTAAAGGAATCTGAACTGCTACTGGTAATTAATGGATTGTCAATGTTTTGAAGGTGCTCTGCTGAAAAATATAAAAAAATTACTTAAAAGTAATTTTGATGTTATTGATAAATTGAATTTTTCAAATAAAAAAAAAAGCAAAATGATTCACTCTTATGTTAGCCCAAACTTGGTCAGATCCAATTAGAATTATCCGACCCGACTTTAATTTTTTAGAGGAGCTTAATCAAAATTGAAATTAAAGAGTAATTTTGTTATTAAATGGCAATTTTATCAGTTTAATCTCAATTTTATTCAAGTACCAGTTTTATTTCAATGAAAAAGGGAGATTATCTTCTACTAAAGCGGAAAAAATTGAGACCCTTCCCTAGTCTCGCGTCATAATTTTACAATGCAATTTTGGTTTTGGAATGGTTCTGATAGAATTCGGATTGTGTAGCCGTGACTAGGGTTGTCGGTTTCAAACCGAACCGAAAAACCGAGGATTTTTGGTTCGGTTAACCGAAGAATTTGGTGAAACCGACAACCCTAGCTGTGACAGATCGAATTCTCCAGAATGTGTGAGAGTAATCCGAATATTAGAAAAAATCCAAATATTCCGAATCCAAACCAGATTCAACATTATAAAAAGTTAACAAAATTAAATTTTAAAAAATTTAAAAAAACTCCTCACAATTACAAGTATTTTCCAACAATTTACAGGCAACTAAACTCAACCCCAATATTTCAATAACAATCGCCAAATTTTGTAAAATTTCAATTTTATTCTTCCAATTATTTTCCTCTCCTTTTTCTTCTTCATTTTTCCAAAATTTTTCTAAAAAATTTAAACAATTTGTAAAATTAATTTCTTTTTCTTCATTTAAATTTAATTTTAAAATTAAAGTTTTTTCTTCTCTTTTATTATTAAATTGTTTTTGTATATCCAAAGAAATATTTAATAATAATTGAGGTAAATTAAATAATTTTGTTGTTGTTTTAATTAATTTATTTAATAATTTTGTATTTATATAATTCTCAAATATTTCTTCATTCTGTAATAAAAATAAAAAAAATTTTAAAGGGAAAATTATGAGAAGATAGACTTTAGTGAAGAATCGGAAAAATATTTTTAAAAATTGAAAAAAATTTTGGCGCTGGTCTAGTTTATGCGTCCAATCAAAAGAAAATTGGATTATTTTTTGGATCTACCGAGTCTAAATCCACGGAGTCTGGGACCATTCCTTACCCTATTCCTCGAAATTTCTGAAAGTTATAGACAATTTTTAAAAATTTCAGACAAACGATTTTAACTTTCAGAAATGTCGAGGGATATTTTCAATTAGAGTAATAGATACCAGAGGCAATGGCACTTTTCGAGAAAAAATAATAATTTTTAGAATTTTTTGAATATAGATTTTTAAGCCAGATAAAAATATAAATAGAAAACCCTCTGCTTAAAGTAAATAAAATTGAGAGAATAAAAATAAATTTAAAAAAAAATAACCTCAATATCTATTTCTTTATTATTCAAAGCAGAATTGCATTCAACCATTACCAATTCTAATTTTGCAATTTTATCTTCCAACAAAATATTTCCGATATTTCCAATTGCTGTTATAATTGCATTTTTTAAATAAAAATAATATTTCTGAAAAAAATGAGAGAAAAATACGAAAAATTAAAAAAAACAGTCAAACCTCGCCCTTTAAAATTATTAGATGATGAGAGGGTAAAGATAACTTAGATTGAGAAGGTATCGTGTAGACATACCCTCTATCACCACCTAGTAGCTAACCAAATTTTAAAGAACGTTTCTTAAATTAAAGCTTATCCCGTATTGGAAACATTTACTTACAAAGGAGGGGTTTGACTAAAATTTAATTAAAAAGAAAAAAACCATTTGAGTAAATGAATATTCAGCCAATTGTTTAATTAATTTGTCAGATATTATTGTTGGAAATACCTATGAAAAATATTTTTTGATTAAATAAATATAAAAAATACACTAAAATCTCTGTTGTCTGACAATTTGTCCCAATCTAAAAATTTTTTTAAATTTGAATTTAATTTTTTAAAGTTGATAATCCCGTATTTTTAAAGTTTATAGTCCTTATTTTATGTAAAAAATAAGAGTAGTTAACCCAGTCTTGTAATGGATACGGATACAGATAAGTCCAAAATGCCTGCAGATATCCGTCTATATCCGCCGTAAATATCCAAATACCAGAATCCATGTCCATTACAAAGTCTGAGTCAACCCATGAACTATCACATATAGACGTTTTAAAAATTTTGATATTTTTCTAAAGGGTTGGCATTTCGAAATATTTTTTGCAAAATTTCAAAAAAAAACTTTTTTTTAAATAAAAAAATTTCCAAACCTATAGGATGACTCTTTTCATCGCCAATTAAAATCGAAGCCAATTTTTCCCCTCCTCCACTTTTTTCTTCCAAAGGAGTAAAACAAACAGTCAAAATTCGATTCAAAATATCGGCTCCAATAGAAAAAATAGAATTATTTGCTTTTTCAGAAAATTCAATTAAATTTTGAATTTGGGCAAAAGAATTGTTTTTGTAAGCATTTACAAGGCATTCATTTGTCTTTTTTTAATGATTAATTATTTTTAAATTTAAAAGAAAAACCTCTCTTTCATTCATATCAAACATAACACCTAAAAAATTTAAAAAAAAATTTATTTTTGGTTGAAAATCAGCAAGTGATTCCTCTGATTGAGGATGACAAGGGCGTAGTCAGGGGGGGGGCTTCTGGGGCTAAAGCCCCCCGCCCCGAAATGGGAAAAGGGAAAAATTTGCGAAGAGGATTGAACAAAAAGTGAAATTTTTTCGCCTATGACCGTCAAATTCAAAAAATTTTCGCCTGCGGCGCTGAAAAAAAACAATATAGTTCAAAAAAATTTGCGTTAGGAACGCCAAAGCAAACGCCAAAATTTTGGCGCACACCCAGTTTTAGCCTTCTAGCTACTTTTCATAAATTTTTAAAAATTAATTGAGGACCTTTTTTAATTTTTTTCGTTGTTCTAAGGAGGACTCCAATAAGTCTGTAAACTTTGACCACAAATGAAGTCAGTTAACCAAAAAAAGACTACCTTTAGGAACTTGCGGATAAAATTTGCGGACTTTACAGAAAAAATATCTTTTCAGTTTTAAAGCTACAGAGCCTAAAGAACTAAACATAACCTACTCCCAAAATCAAAAAAAAATAAAAAAAACCAACCCAAATCTGTATAGTAAATATTAGCCTCCTTAAATCGCCCAAAATGATAAGGTGTGAAAAACCGAAGAAATGCTAAACTGTCTTTTTGAATAAATTTTAATTGAATTTGTTTCTCCATTTCTTTTATTCTTTGAACACAACCAAAAATACCTTTTTAAAATTAAATTAAAAAAATAAATTTTTAATTAAAAACCATAAAGTCTACAAAGCATAATTTGTATTGAGGCTGTGCAATCTGAATGAAAATCCTTTGCCCACTTAATTGTTTTTATTTTAAAAAATAAAATAAAAATTTAAAAACCTCCAAAAATGCAATAATTGGCAATAAAGTCTCTAATTGATGGCCTGAAAAGTAAGAAGAAAATGAAAACTTAAAAAAATTTCTTTTGAGAGAAATAAACGACGAAAATTTTTAATTTAAAAAACACATACCCTCAATCTTTAAAGGAAAAAGAATGTTTCGATTCGATTCGACGCCTAAAATTCGGCGCACAAAAATTTTGAACAATTTTGAACCTTTGTGAACCAATGTCAGAAAATCATCTTTAATTTTAATAGAACCAGGCCCGTAACCAAGGGTGAATTCCTCCCATCCCTCCCGAAATGGAGAAAAGGAAAAAATTAGGGGAGGACGGCCTTCGAAATTTTAAAAATTTTAGCCTGTAGCGCTGAAAAAGGAATAAATCTGGCTTCTTACACACAAAATGAAAAAATTCAAGATTCGATTAATCAAGATTCGATTAAAATCAAGATTCGATTCGACGCCTAAAATTCGGCGCACAAAAATTTTCCATCCTTGGCCCCCGCCAAAAAATTCTTGTTAAAAAATTTTGCTTCTCAAAAATTAAATAACCCCAAATAATATTTTCAAAAAAAACCTTCTCTTCTATAAATTTCCCACATATATTGAACCACAAGTTGAGATAAACAAGTAATTTGAATTCCATCCAATTTTGGGATCAAATGTCCATCCTTAACAGATTTTTCTTCTTTCAAACAATTTTCTTCTTTCTTCTTAACTTCACAAATACATTTAAATAATAAATTTAATTGTTCTTTTAATTGAATTTCTGTCAAAGTTTTTGGAGGAAAAAAATTAAAATTTAGTTGAAATTGAAGAATTTGAGGCCATCCGTTGTTTGAAGGTTTTGATTGGGAAAGAAGTATTTTCTAAAAATTTTTAAAAATTTTGAATTATATTTAGAATTTTGAGTTTAAAATTTTTTAAATTTTTAAAAAATTTTCCGAAAAGAATTTATTTCCCTTATTCGCGTTCCAGTCATTTATTTAGTCATAACTTAATCAAATTCACCCAACCTCATTAATTTATACGACTCATATAATCTGATGTTATACTATCACCCGATGATGAAAATATGCCCGGAGTGGGAATATCAGGAAGAACATAATACCTTTAATTTTCAGCTCATTTTTCTAAGAAAATAAGAGACAAAGGAATAATCAAAAAGTTTTCTTAGATTTTTTTCTACATTCTTAAACTTTCAAATAATACAAAATGTTAAATTGTCAAAAAAATTTTATGGGAAACTTGAACCCCAATTTAACAAACTTTTTTTAAAAAATTTACAAACCTTTTTTTCCTTGCCCTTCTCTTTCATATCTAATTTATTAAAACAAGTCTCCATCAAATTTTGCAATTCATCATGATATTTAGCCTCCACTCGCTGCAAAACTTGCTGTTCAAATTCTTTAGGTTTATCTTCTTTTGATTCCTTTTCACTCATATTTTATAATTAAATAATATGTAAAAACTAAAAAAATAAAATTATAAAAATTTTAGGAAATTTTTAGAAAAATGTTTAATTTGGGTCAAATTTCAAAATGTTAACTTTCAAAATGGAAATATTGCAAAAAATCAAAATTTTTGAAATATAAAAATGTCGTTCCGTGCCGGGCCAACTCAAGGAACGAATCCTTGACTTGTCTGTTTCTTGACTTATTTGTTAGTATTTATTAAAGATCGGACAAACGGCAAAATCAAATATCAAATCAAACTATTTGATATTTGAAAGTATTTGAAAAAAATTTGATCAAATATTCGATTTTCCAACGTCAAATATTGGTTTGGTCCGATCTCTAGTATTTCTTGAATTGCCTCTCACCCTGTCGTTCTAGTAATTTTTTATAATGCGGATTTTTTGCTTAAATAATTGGTAAATATTGTCCGCAATTTTTTTGCAGACAAACTTTTCGTTTAATCAACAAGCCAACTTTTTTATACTAAAATAAATATATAAAATAATATTTTTAAAATTATATTTAAATTAAAAAGAATAAACATAAAATAATTTGTTAACCATTTTATAATATCTTTAAAATAATTTTAAATATTGAAGAGGGAATATATTATTTAGAAAAAAAAGATATAGTACATAATATATCACTTGTGAGAATTTTAAAAAATTATAAAAATGGGGTCATAATTATTTTTAAATAAAAAAGTGGCAACTAAAAACAGACCTAGATTTTACATACACACATTTAAGAGTAGAAAGTAATTGTATGTAATGTAAATCACTAGTGATGTTCGGAAGTTAAGAAAGAGAGTCAAGACCAAGGGCTCAAAAACCTGGGAAATTTCGCAACTCAAGAACCGAGTCACGAACATCACTATAAACTATAAACCACCTCACCCCCTCCCAACTTTTAATTCGAAGTTATAGTTAGGGAACTGGAAAAAAAGAATTCGCCCAAACTCCCGTAGTGGTCAACCAAATTTTAAAAAATTGTACCTGAAATTGAAGGTGTAAGTAAATTCTAGGTCCGACTAAATAGTGGAGTAGTAGTAAAATTACTTGCCTAGCTCTCTCGACAGTTAAACCGTCGGGAGATTCACCTCTTTCGAGGAGTTGGGAAAGCAAGAAATTTTACCTTACATAAAAAATAATGTTGCACTTTGTAGGGGGAATGCCCTTCTTTTTTTGGAAAAACTTGGAAAGTATTTTTCCTATTCTCTAAACAAGTTATCTATTTTCATAAAAATAAAGTCTTAATTTTAAAAAATAATTTTTAGAAAAATATCAAAAATTATCAACATAAGTGACATAATTTGCCGGGATAAGTCCTGTCTTGCCTTTGAAAAAAAAATTAAAATTTTTTAAATAATCAAAATCAACAACCATTCAAAGTGCCAACTAGCCAACCTTCCTCTTTACTTTCATAGACATTAGTGATTATTTGACCTTAAAAATTTTTTAAAGAAATTTTAGAGAAGTTAAAGGATAAGGTTAAAAATTTAGTTAAACTCTCATTTTTAATTACACTTGTTAAGGCTGGAATCTCATTTAAAATGAGGTTAAACTGTAATAAGCGAAGGAAGTTAAGAGCATTTTAAAAATATCGTTGACTCTCGTTATCTAACCAGAGTATGTCCAAAACGGTTATAGTCCACCCTATGTTCGGAATCGAACCAAAAACCTGTTCGGTTCTAGATATTCGAAGATTTTTCAAGAACAGACCATCCTAGTCCCATACCGGGGTGATAACCAGAGTCAACTGTATTTAATTATTATTACCCGACTCAAAGCTGAGCTCAGTTTCATGTCCAGCCTCGCAAGGGTAAATTGTACGAACTCTCCTTTAAAATTAAAAATTTTCTTTTAATTTTTCCTTTCTCAATACCGTGGTGGATGTAAAGGACCATCAGGGTTAATAAAATTAGTATAAGCTGGGGGTATCCGCATAGATAAAATTGTTGTTTGGGGCAAAGTTTCTGATCGATTTGAAAGAATTATTGGGGTTGCTGAAGTAGTTGTAGATTGTTGGGAAGAGGAAGAACTTGGCCGTTGTTGTTGTTGGGTAGTTAAAGGGGTTTTGGATGGGGAGGTTCTTAATGTTGCGTAAATACTTGAAAAAATATTTTGGAAAATTTTTTTAAATTTTAATACTTTTCTGTAGGCAAAGGCTGGCTGTACATTGGCGCATAGCTTCCAAAGGTTTTGCCTGAATTAAATAATTTAAACTTGCAAATTACTCAACTAAAATTAAATTCCTTCCCCAGTGGAGTAATGATTGGAGAGGGAAAATGAATGGGGAGAGGGTTGGGGTCGTTTTGGCGCCGGGCCGTTATGGCGCGAGAACAAAAAAGTGGCACTTAGGCGAGATCTAAATTTATAAAATTTTTCTCAAATTTCTTTAACATCCTTGACTACCACCTCCAGAAATTTCAGAATTTTTTATCCAATATTTCCGAAGTTATAGTCGATAAACCAGAAAAATTAGGCATTTTTCAGAAAATCGACATTTTTGGCCATAATTTCTAAAATTCTTGCTCAAAAATTCTGAAATTTTTGAAGAACATAGATAAAGGTACGAAAGTTTTTATTGCAAAATTTCATCATTTTTGATAAAAAGCTCGCTATCTTATAAGCTCGCGCCAAAACGGCCCCGCGCCAAAACGACCCAGTCCCATGGGGAGAGAGATACATTATTTAAAATTAATTTTTAAGCATTCTCACCTCTCGGAGCTATACCCGCCAACTGTTTATTAGCACCAGAAGAGGAAGGAGGTGGTGTACTGCTAGAACTTGGTGAATCTCCAAGAACACCACTTCCTGCTAAACACAATTCACTTCGTGATTCGAATTGTTTTGAAATAATACTAGGTTTTTGTTTTAAAGTAGTATTCCCCCCACCACCGCCATTAAAAGGTCTTCTTTGTGGAGATGTGGGAGGGGGAAATTGCTGATGATTAGGGTTGTTAGATGAAAGTGTAGTACCATCAGTTGAGTTAAAAGGAGTAATTGTGGGTTTTAAAGGCCTGCAAAATATGATTTATTAAGCGGGGTTAGCCACGCTGGGACATATGCCATTAAGAGATAAGCTCAAAGATCATGATTCCTAGATTATTAATTTAGCGGGTTCCTGGGCCCAAAAAACGTAATGGTTTTGAAGTTTCAATTATAGAACAGAGTTATAGAACAAATAAGCAATAGAAACGCCCTTCCGATGTTTAGGAATTATAAATCGGGTCGGTAGGATCCCTATTATCCCCACCAGTCTTAAAATGACTCTCTCTCACTTTTTACCTATTTTGTTGAGTCATAGGTAAAAGATCATCATAACCACCACCACTACTTTTACTACTAGACAAACTTTTATCATCCCCCAAAATACTTCCTCCTCCCCCTCCTTCATTATTTATTGTTGTTAATAATTGTCCACTTTTTGCAGGTTTAGGAGGAAAAGGTTGTTCAATTTGTTGTGGGGGTTGTTTACCAAAAATATGTTCACAATTAGCTATTAAAGCTTCAACAACAACATTACAAAATTTAATATCCATTACTGCAGCTAAAGTTTCTTCTCTAGGTCTTAAAAGTGTTGGACCAAAACAAACTGCTAAATTACTTATTGACATTAAATTTTCTGAAGAATGGTTGGATACACGACGTAAATGTTTAATTACCTTAAAAATAATTTTTCAATTATCTTAAATTTTTGGAAAAATTCGTGTAAAAAGTTGAAGAATTCTTCTAATATTAAAGAATTCTTCTAAAAATTAAATTTAAAAAATTGGAAGGATAAAAAAATATAAAAAACTAGGTGACTGAAAATGGGAAAAATCGAGTATCGCATAATTATTAGTGTTCGGCAAATGACCTTTTCCGGTATTCGGTATACCAAAAAAATACCGATACCGAAAAATACCGTTTTTTCAAAATTTGACCGGTACGGTATCGGTATACCGGAAAAAAATACCGCGGTATACCGGGAAAAAGGATATAGTGTAGTTCACCGGAGGTAAAAGGTTGAGACGTGACATATGTCATTCGATTCGTCTCGGCGAGCTGAGTCGAACGGTACCACTCCCAATTTCAGGAAATGATTCTGGACCGAGTTACAGGTCCCGAAAAATTGAAAAACCATAGGGGGGACCAAGCACTTTTTTAGGGTGAAAATTTCGAAAATGCAAATTATACCTCATTCGAAAGAGCTCGCGAGCTGAGTCGAATGACACCAAAATCAACGAAATCCGACTTGAATGGACCGAGATATAGACCCCTAAAATTCGAAGATCCAAAGGGGCAATTTTTAAAATAAAAATTTTTTATACAAATTATAACTCATTCGAAAAGCTCGACGAGCTGAGTCAAAAGACACCAAAATCACCGTGATTGAATAAGATTAGACAAAGTTATGATACAAAAAACAAAAAAACCTAAACCTATGGAGCGTCGGCAAGGCGCTTGTGCAAAACCCCGCGCTTCGCGCGGGGTTTTGCGGCACGCGCCTCGCGGGGAGTCTACGGGCGCTGGGTCTGGGCTCGTCACATAAACCTATTCCTATCTCCCTTGCTCTGGACATATTTGGGGCCTCCGTAGCAGCAAAAAACTTCACAGATGCCATAGGTAAGGAGCTAAAACAAACGGTCATAACTTTGTCAAATCAAGTCGGATTTTGTTGATTTTGGTGTCATTCGACTCAGCTCGACGAGCTCTTTCGAATGAGGTATAATTTGCATATTCGAATTTTTCACCCCAAAAAAGTGCTTGGTCCCCCCTTTGGTTTTTCGAACTTTCGGGACCTATAACTCGGTCCAGAATCATTTCCTGAAATTGGGAGTGGTACCGTTCGACTCAGCTCGCCGAGACGAATCGAATGACATATGTTTCGTCCCGAACTTTTACCTCCGGTGAACTACACTACAGCCGGGAAAAATACCGCGGTATACCGTACCGTGCCGAACACTAATAATTATCTCGAAAAAAATCAGGCCCGAGAGAGATGGTTTAAAAGAGGCCCGAAGGGAGCGAACATTATAAGATTTATAAGAAATTAGTTCACACGTTGCCTCTATTTGAATAGAGTCAACGGATCATGGAAAACCCCCGAATATCCTGATCCGATATCCAAACCGAAAATTTGTGAACCCGAACTTTTTTCAGAAACGGAAAGCCAGATTCCTATAGGCTAAATTTTTTATAAACAACTCAAAATAAATTACCATTTCCAACATATTCTTTTGTGAAGAAGGTAACTTATATACCCAATAGTGAATATGTTGAACTCGTTGATTTCTTTAAAAATAATTATTTTTAAAATTTATTTTTCCATTAAATTACCCGTCGTGTAATTTAGCAGCATTAATAAAATGTTGATGTAATTCATAAGTCATTAAAGGTTCTGGTAAATTTCTTAAGAAAGTTTTAATTGCAGAAGAAACAGTTTTTAATTCCAGATCAGAATCTGTGAGTAAATTTAATTTGTCTGAAGCAGAACGTTTGTTATGGTGATGAGGGTCTAGAGCATGTTGCATTAATTTTTGAACTTTTGAATTTACTCCACAATTTCTTTAAATTAATTTTAAAAAATAAAAAAAAAATTTTTTTTTAATTTTAGATTTAAATTTTTTAGTTGGTTTGTGGGGAAAAAGAATTACCGCAAATTTTTTGAAAATAAAATTCCACTTTTTATCTCTCCATAAAATACAAGATACTTGCAAAAAATGATTTTTTTGCAAATTCAAAAAACTAATTTTGTTAAAATTCATTAGTAAATAATTTTTAAATATATTCTCACAAAAATTACCTATAAATTCCTTGTTCAGTAATTCCTATTAAAAGAAAAAAATTCTAAAATTAAACAAAAAAATATAAAAACACCTTTTTCTTCTATAACATTTATACAGCGTTCAATAAATTCAAAACCGTGTTCATCAAGCATTGCTGAAGAAAAAGAAAAATTGTCAAGAGAAAATTTTTTGTTAAAGAAATTTTTTTAAAGATTTGTTTCTCGGAAATAAAAGCAAAAATCAAAATTTCACGTTTCTGGAAAGAACCCAAAATCTTATAAAACTTTCAAGAAAATTTTAAATTAGAAATTTATTATCAGAAAAGCTATGGACTTTCTTCTTGTCCACAAAAAAATATAAAAATTAATATTAACTCAAAGAAGCAGGAGAGGCGTTTGTAGCACTTCCATAAACAGTTTCTTGGCCATCCATAGTTTCAAGCCTTAAATTTAAAAGAAATAATTAGATAATTATTTTATTTATTTGCCACCATTGCTGGCAGTCAATTTCACTTAAAGCTTGAAATGTCAGCACTTCTGTTCGACTCTCTGGGACAACGTCAAAACAAAATCTTTAAAAAGAAATTTCTTGATTTTTTAAAAATAATTTTTTTCACCTTTTATCTATAGAATCGGGTGCACGACGAGTGCATTGCAATTTTTTAAAAGAAACTTAAAAAGTAATTTAAGAATTTTTTAAAATACTTACCAGTATGGTCAATCCAACCGCCTTTGACATCCTTAAAATAAAAAAAAAATAAAAATTTAAAAATAAAGTTAGCGTGTTTAAATTAATTTTAAAAATATTTAAAATTTTTCTGCATAGAAAACCGGAGGGAAAAAGTGGCAAAGTTAATGAAATTATTTAAATGCCTAGAAAGAAAGATAAAATATCGTTTAAATCAAATAAAAATAGTATATTTATGTAAATAAAAGATAAATAGTAAATATTCAATTAGAAAATTTCTGGTACAATTCAAAATTAATATAGGTACATGAGTTTTGACTGCAAAGCAAAAAAACCCAGGCTTTATTTAGATCAGCGAGAATATTGACAAAATAAATAAGGGTGCCGGAAAATTGGGCTCTGGAAAATTGGGCTCCAAGATTTTTCGGAAAATTGGGCTCCAACTTTTCGGAAAATTGAGCTCCAGCGGAATTTTGGGCTTTAGATCAGAAAAACGAAAAATTGGGTTTCTGGGCCCAGAAACCTCATTTTTTTAAATTTTTTGCTCAAATTTTTCAGATATTCTTCGAAATATTTAAATTTTCCGGTTGATATGATTTTTTGTTCCGGTAAACATTAATACCCACAAAAGACAGATGATAAATTTCTTTGTAAATATTTTTTTTAAATATTTTAAAAATTTAATGCACCAAAATTTGTTTGGAAAATAAATTTAAAAATAAAAAAAAGAGAAAAAACAAGTCAATGACTCAGTCAAATTTTAAAGAAAATAAAGTCGGCAGCAAAGCATCAGCTGGAAGATAGACAGACAAATAAAGAGAATGAGCGCCATTTTCAGCCTTATAAAAATAGGTAGTCAAGTAAAGTGTATAAAAGGATATAGGAAAGTGGCGCGAATATAAACATCATTTAGTGAGAGAGAAAAAAATTTTTGGGAAAGGATAAATAAAATTTATATAAGAATTTTTAGGTTGTGCTAGAAACAAAAAAGACATTGTTAGTATTTTGGCAGACAAAAATCCAAGGATTGAATTAAAAAAAAATTGGAGGGATATGTAGTAAATGACGGAAAGAATGAGTAAAACAGAACAATGAAAACAGCAAAAATCGTTTTTAAAGAACTCGGTAAATCCAAACACCAGGACCTATGCTGTCTGCAATCGAATTTTTGCGCTAGTCTGCAATTCAATTTTAAAATCCGTCTTGGGATAGACTGACCAGAAATGATTTTTAAAAACAGATTTGCAGTTAAAGTATATTCAAAATTTTAAGTGATAAAAAAAGGATGGCTAGAAGATAAAAAACGAAGTAACGAAGTCAATAGAAAGTAATTAAAAATTATTTCAAATTAAACCAAAAAAATTTAAAAAATAAAAATAAAAAGACGGCACAAAAAAAAAGATGATGAGTCCAGTCCTTTCAAGAATCCAATAGAGAAAAGGAAAAAGGAAAGGATGTTTCTGGGCACATAATGAGGGAATAAAAAAGACTTTTTATGACTCACGTCATAAGGCACGATAAATCAAAAAATTGTTGCTTATTTATTTGAAGAGTTTTCTTAAATGGAAAGGACAATTGATTTAAAAATAAAATTTTTAAAAGTAAAATAATTTCTGAAGAATAGAAAATTTAAAGAAATTTTTTAAATAAAAATTAAAGAAAACTTTTGAAGTAAATAAATGAGAAGCGGTGAAATATATGACAGTCGGACCTAGAATTGTATGAAAAAATGAGAATGTATTTGAGGAGTCTTTTATTTAAATCATTTTTTGGAGAGCGGATTGACATGAGACGGTGAAAAACTCAGTTATCAAAATAGAGAATTGAAATCTCTGATTTTTTTACTTTTTATCACTCAAGTCTGATCCATTGAAAATAAAATTTATTTAAAAATAAATTTTTTTAATATTCATAATTTAAAGAAATTTTTTTAACTGAGAATTATTTTAGAATTTTTAAAAATTAAAAATAAAGTATTTTAATACATATGTAAATTATAGAATGGCCTTGCAAAATAAAATAAGAATAAATATAGGCAGGTAAATGTGTGTATAGGTAATGGTCAATTGTTAGTGTGACACACATTTAAATGTTGAAAATATTATTTAATATTAAAATTGTTTTGTGTGTGTATTTGTTGTTATTCATTCATTAATAATGTGGAAATAACCAGGAGCGCGTAAAGGTTGAAAAAAGGTAAAAATAAAAAGAAAATAAGCAAAATAATAAATAAATAAATAATGAATAAAAATTTAAAAAAAAATATTGAAAAATAGAAATTGAAAAAATGAAATTTAGATTTTGAAATTTTAAGGGAAGTGGAAGCATAAACCCATATAAATTCTAATATTAAATTATAAAAAACAAAGAGAGATAAATTAAAATTTGTAATGATTGAACTTGTCCCCAATTTATGAAAAAAAGCCCAACAAATAAAATAATTAAGAACCACCCACCGTTTTGACAACATTAGTCGTTGGAATAAAAGTAAATATTTTTGTTTCCCTCGAATAAACACAATAATATTTTGTCCAATTGCTACGAGAAAGGACATCTCTACTTATAGTTTCTATTAAAAGAAATTAATTAATTTTCACAATTTTCAAAACAAACTTGGCAATAAACGTATAGGATCATGCATATATAAATATCCTTGTTTAATAGAACTTATAGCACCTCCACCCAAAGCACCGGGAGATAAGGGTTCACCATCATCACCAATATTTGAATTTCCACTTTTATCAGTTTCGGATTGAAAAACCTTTTTTAATAAAAAAATAAAATTTCAAAAATTATATTTGGAGAGAGGATACATTTGTAAATAAACAAAATAGGATTTCTGTTGGAGTTAGTCAGCAAATAAAGAAGATAATTTTACGAGAAGAAAATAAAACAAAACTTCTCATTATTCTTTCCGGAATTATAAATTCATTTCTTGGGTTACCGTTTTCGGTGAGGGGGGGGGGGTTCTTTTCTTGCTGTCATCACTATTCATATACTTAGAAATAAAAATATCCAAACTAGAAATATATATGCTAAGATACAACCATCCGGGAATGTGTAGATAAAAGCCGAAAATATGTAAAATATTACAGAAATTAAAATTTTTTCAAAGGTAAATGTGGTTCACGAAAATTAAGTTTCACATGATTAAATTAAGCCTTTCGGAAACAAAAAATAGGCTATAAAAATAACATATTTCCGGAAAAGTTGAATATATTAATAGCATATATTTTCCGAAAACACCTCCCCAATAATAAAGAATTCTGGAAAGATATTAATTTTCAAACTTTCCGGAATATTGTAAATTTAAAAAAAAATTACCGAATGTCTCATAAAAGTAACCAACATTTTCTTTTTTAATTCATTAGCCTCAATTTGTTGTACTTCAAAGTTTTCTTTTGCTTTTAATATTTTGTCATTAATTTCGCTGTAAGTATATTGAAAATCTTTTTGTATTGCATTTGCCATGTGATCTGAAAAAAATATTTTTTTCCATTTAAAAATAGTAAAGATTTTTAATTATTGTCAGCAAATTGTCTTTTTGTCGCTAGAAGTATTTTAGAAATTCCGTTCGGTTATTAAATTTACAAATAGGGAAGGAAGGCGGAACATAAAAATTTTAAAAAATTAGAAAAATTCAGGCGTTTCAGTTATCACTTAAAAGTCAACAAGTTTAATCCGCAACTTATAATTTGTCATTTTAATGAAATTTGCTTATTGCTAGATTATGGTAAAATGTATAAAAAAAGTAGCTTTTTGATTTTTGAAACGGGAAAGAATATTAAATTCTAATAGAAAAAAGTTCGGATTGACTTTATAACCGAACGGAAAATAAAAAAAAACTAAAAATCATTAAAATTAAATAAATTTAAAAAAAAATTTTAAAAAATACAAAATAAGAGCCATTGATAAAGAAAAGAGCTAATAGTCTGCACAAATTCAATTCTAACATTTTCTTGCACATTTTGAATTTCAGTTACCTTAAAAAATAAATTTAAAAAAATACAAAAATAAGAAATTACATAATTTAAAGATGCTTGACAAAAACTTTTTTGTTGTACGGCTAATTGGGCATCTATGGAGGTAAAATCAGATTTTCTTGACTAAATTTTAAAAAATTAAATTAATATTTTTTAAATAAAAAATACCGTTGTAGTAACTTTAAGGTTTAAATTTCTTTCCAATGCTTGATAAAATTTTCCTGATTCTTTGCTAAAAAATGAATGATAATTATCTTTAGAAATCCAGCTCTTATGAATTAGAAAATTAAAAAAAATTCTTGTTGAAAAAATGAACCTATCTAGATTTACTTAAAACCTCCTAAATTAATCAAAAACAAAAATCAATAATTTTATTTCCGATTATCTAATTAAATTTTTAAAATTTTCATAAAAATTTAAATTAAAACCTATATCTTTGACGTCCATCTCGCGCACGATTAATTTTTTCAACCTCAAAAATTTATTTAATAGATTAAAAATTCCAACAAAGAAAACCATTGCCAAAAGAGGGGACAAGTAAAGCTCTCCAGTCTCTTGAATTGTTTTGGAACGATGTTCTTCTATCATTCTGCAGAAAAAAAATAATTTCTTAAATTCTTAAATTTAGCATGAAAAAAATTTTGCAGGAAAAAATTTTGTAATCAGGAATACCCCGAAACTCCTACAAAACGTATTTTTTAAATGGCTTAACCCTCACCTATTATTAAATTAAATTCAGTCAATTAGGATAATAAAAACAAATAATTATGTCATTAGATATTTTTTCATATATTAAACCTTCTTTATTTAAGTTTCAGATTTTACCCTTTCTCGATTGAATTACAAAGATTATTTTCTCTTTTTCACCCAAAAAAGACTAATTTTAAGACTCAAATAGGGGGGGGGGGTAATATACAGGGTGTTTTAGACCATAAAAAACTACACGATATACGCTAATAAACATATAGGACCACCCATTCATTAAAGAATAAAATAAAAAACAAACATTATAACATTAGCAAGTTGTTTAGTATAATTAGCCATTGCCTAAATTAATTTTAAAAATATTTAAAAGTTAAAAAATTTAAAAAAACCATATCATCTTCAGACATCGTTCCAATCATTCCCAATTTGAAGTCACTTAAAGTCTCTGCCAAATGCTTTTGGGCTAAGCTGAGTTCTAAACGAAAAAGAGGTGCTAGGCTATGAGGAAATAAATGACAATTTTAACTAGATTTACTTATCAGTAAAAACCCCTAACAATTTTCTTTCCATCACTTACGTGATGAATTCACCGACGGATAATATATTTCCAATAATAAATATAGAAATATTCGGACCCTAGCTATAACTTAGAATCCGAAATAGAAAAAGAAATTAGCCTTTCATTTTCGACAAGTAAAACTTGCGACTTGGCAAAAGTTGTTCCATGACATTCTAACCTAGGGTCTAATTCTTTAGTGACACAATTAAAATTTCGGTATAAAATACATTCTGAAATTTCTACAAAATTGGAGGACAATGCTTGGTTGGGGTCATGCTGAGTTACTCCAATTCTAAACCTATACCTCTCCTCCTACTAAAAAATAAAAAGAAAACAAACTTGTCGAATACGAAAGAATTTTTCTACATTGTTGCTCTACATCTTTAATCTTTTTTGAAGTTTGTTCAAGTGCTAAAAGAATTTTTAAATTAAAAATTAAAATTTAAAGAAAAACCAATTTCGTGTTTATGCAAATTTTGGCGGAAAAAGGGAGAATCCGTCAGGCATTCGGAAAATTCTAGAGGCTTTAACTGCATCAACAGAATTTATTTTTTTCTAAAAAAATTTAAAAAATAATTTTAAAGAAAATAAAAAGAATGACATGTTTTTCCAATAAAATCCAAAAAAAAGTCAAAAACGTTTCAAATCCAACAAATTAAAGAAAAATATAGAAAGAGAAATGTTAGACACAAAAGAGAGAGAATAAAGACAATAGAAAGAAAAACGCACGCAAAAGACAGTTGACAAGAAATGGCCAAGGGGACAAAATGCCAATGAGGGCAAAATTGGACATTTTGTCTAAAATTGACGGAAAAAATTATTCTAGTGACGAAATGTCCATTGGCAAATTGTTTTACTTAAATTGACAGTGATTTTCCGGAACAGAGTAGAAAGACAATAGAAGAAGACTTGTGTGCGTGCTAATCTGACACATCTTTTTTTTTTCAGGAACAAAAATCAAACTACCAGAAGAAGAGTACGTGAAAGAGGAGCTGCAAATATTTCCGGTTGTCTTTTTTGGGAGTAAGAGTAATGCAAAAGAAAAAAATATACTAAACTAAGGAAAATTATTTTCGGCTAATCACAATTCGTCCCTGAACAAAAACATATTTGTACAATTCGTCTTACACAATTCGTCCCAATTTTTATTTATTGAAATATAATGTTGGGCAAAATACAAATCATAGCTCACTAGTAAGGTCGCGGATAGTTGGAAATCTTCGAATATCCGCTTGATTCAATGATTCTGAACAAAGTTATGACCAACTGAATCTGCGCTGGAAAACTGTTTTGTGCTGCTACGGAGGGTATGTGGGGTGCAGCAGGGGTGCACAGGTTGTCTGTCCGGCATTTATACCTTAAAAATAGAAATTTTGGAATAATCCCGCATGCCGGATATTCCAAAATTTCTAAATTATTTCGGATATGGAAATTTTAAACTTATTAAATCCACGGGGACTCAATTGAGGTATAAACAAGGGGGACTCAATCGTGCGGACTCAATCGTGGGGACTCAATTGTGCCGGGACTCAATCGTGGGGACTCAATCGTGCGGACTCAATCGTGGGGACTCAATCGTGCGGACTCAATTGAACTGCTCCGCTTTTTTCCATTTCGTTTCGTTTCGGAACGAAACAGAAAAAAATTTATTTCGTTTCGTTTCGAAACGAAATAGCCAAAATTACGGACGAAACGAAACAAAAAAAAGTGAGAAAATACACCCCTAATAACGGGAATTTATGGAAATAATCATTAATTTTTTAGTAATTTCTGTTTTATGAGCAGCCTAAAATTAAAAAATTTTCGCCTGCGGCGCTGAAAATGGAAGAAATTTGGCTTCTTGAGCTCCAAATTTCAAAAAATTTTCGCCTGCGGCGCTAAAATGAAGAAAACTTTTACGGGTTTTGCTAGAGCAGACCAGCCTTCCGTCGCCCAACCTACTATAGTACTCCAAATTGGATTAATTAAGGATTAAGAGGGATATGTGGGTATTGAGAATAGCCCTCCACGTTACCTCCACTAAAGTATCCAATTTTCTTCCCTTTTCATCGCCGCAGACTAAAATTTTGAGGATTTTGTAAGGCCAAACAAGATTAAGGCGATATCGATGGAGCTAGATTTTTTTCAATTTCAACGCCGCAGTTGAAAATTTTAAGATTTTGGTAGGCCAATGGGCAATATTCTATAAAAATTTGATAATTTTAGAAAAATCTTAAGAAGGATATAGAAGATATCGCAAGGGATAAGATGTCTCTTTTATCCCTCTTAATATCCCTCTTGATCGATATCTAAAGTGGTATACTCCAAAGCAAATTTGGATATATCGTGGGATTTTAATAGGATATCGGAGATTAAGGCGGATATATGGTGATTTAAGGGGATTAAGGTGGATATCGGCAGATTGTAGGGTCCACTCTTGTTTCTGCTATTCTTTTGTCACGCATCTAGCTCTTGGGGTGCATTTTTATGATTTAAATATCGATTAAAAGCATTTATGAACTGAAAAATAAATATTTTTTAATTTTTATTTTATTTCGTTTATTTCGTTTCGTTTCGTCCGAAACAAGCTCATTTCGTTTCGTTTCGCTCCGAAACGAAATAGGAATTTTTTTATTTCGTTTCGATTCGAAATAAAAAATATTTTTATTTCGATCAGCCCTGATCCGGATCCACCAACCTTACTCACTAGAAGCATCTCGTCGAGCCAGGTCGAATAATGTTAGTTACAGAGAAATCGAATGGGTGTGGATTCTGCTTGATTGAAGTTATTCTTTCAGATCGGAAATGGCCCCTAGGCTGACCTTAAAAATTCAATTATAGACTTGATTTAGTGTTTTCTTCGAAACACCAAATTTGTTACCAACAGCAAAAACAGTGAAACAACATTGAAAATGTTCCTTATATTAGAAACATCAATCAAATATATTAAATCATATCAATCAAAAGTAAAAATATTAATCTGGTCAATACCCACACCATTGTTTGTCCCAATTAATTGCCCAAAACATTTTCAATGTTCGTCCAATCTCGCTAATTTATGCACAATTATTTTCCGATTTTTAACTGTTCAACCACAATCAACTGCTCATTTTCCTTTTTGTTTTATCTGTTAGCTGTGAGAGAACTTCACCCTGCCTTTACAATCATAATAACCTCACTAGCTTAACTAAAAATTTGTTAAAATTATTTCCATATTTTTTTAATTTAAAAAATGTGAGTAGTCCTAAATATTATTTTCCAAAAAATTTGTACTTTTTTAACACTTTTCTAGACGGGGACACACAAACAAAAAATATTTATCGGTAAAAAGGGTTATTTGTATATCCTCCCATTACGTTTTGCCTGCTTCCCAAAAATATATTAGGTTCCCTTTTTTTATTACAAATTTTCTTATGATGTTCACATTTGCCTATGATGTGTTTTTCTCACATTTCCTATTGTTTGCTAGTAGTCATAGGTAGGGGGATGTCGCGGCTGTCACTAACCTAATCCTTTTGATCTCACTGTCGTGTGGTGGCGGGGGCTGGTAAAAACCTAAAGGGAGAGGGCATGTCGCGGGTGACTTTTTGACTTTTAAGCCAAATCCTTTTGATTAGTTTTGACTTAAGGCCAAATCCTTTTGAGCGGCTGGCTGGTCAAAGCTCAAACCTTTAGCGCGAGTTAGTGCGGTAAAAGCTGACCAACCTGTACCTATAGGAGGAGAGGGAAAAATTGATGTCGCGGGCGTCGTACTCCTCCTCCCTCTCCTTCCCTACCTCTTCTCTCTCCCTTTTCTCTTCTCTGGAAAAAAAACGTCGTGGGGTGGTGGGGGTCTGGTAAAACCAAAAGGAAGAGAGCATGTTGGGGGATCGCGCGGCAAAAACCTAAAGGGAGTGGACAACTTGGCAGAGTCTTGGGGTGGAGTGGGAAGGGAGGCCAAGATTTGTGGTGGAGAGGTCAGACAAACGATAGAGTATGTGCATTTATTTGTGGGAAAAATCAAAATGGAGAGGAAAATTCTTGCGGAGAGATACGATAAAAGAAAAGTGAATGGCAATATTTGGGGAGGATGGGTCAGACAATAGGAAATATTTAATTATGAGAGGAAAACCAAAAGGAAGAAGGAAGAGAACCCCTTTTGAATGTGGACATCGTCGTCTAGGGTGGCAATAACTGAAATGGATAAAATAGTCTTGTAATCAAATAGTGATGAGAGGGTAGAGAAAGTGGTTTAAGGGGTAATTTGTGAATCATCGTCGTCGTCGTGGCCGACTTTTTGACTTTTAAGACAAATCCTTTTCATTTGTTTTGACTTGAAGTCAAATCACTTTGACAGGTCGGTGATAACGAGCTTTTCCTCTCCATATCCTACCCCTCTCATCCCTCCTCTCTGATACTACTCCTCCTCTCCTCATTCTTTCTCCTCCCCATTTTATCTTCTCCGCTATTTTCTTCTTCCTCCTCCTCCTCCTCCTCCTCCCTCATATTCCTCATATCTTCTCTGATCATGACTTCTCCTTTCCTCCTCTATCCTACTCCTCTCATCTTCTCCTCTCTGATACTACTCCTTCTCTCCTCATTCTCCTTCTTTCTCCTCCCAATCTTATCTTCTCTATTTTTTCCTCCTCCTCCTCCCTCCTACTCCTCCCATCTGCTCTGATCTCATCTTCTCCTCTCGGTTCTTCCTCTATGATACTATTTCCTTCCTCCTCTCCATATCCTACTCCTCTCCTCGTTCTTTTTCTCCTACTCGTTTAATCTCTATTTTCTTCCTACTCTCTTCTACTCTCTCATCTCCTCTCGTATCATCTTCTCTTCTCCTTTTATCCTCTCCTTTCCTTTGCGGTTGAACAATCACCATCGTGGAGTAGAGGGGTCTGGTAAAATCAAATGATGAGGACATATCGGTAGAGTTGTGGTGTTGAAGGGTAATTTGTAAGCAGTGGTGAAAAAATAATTTCTAAATTTGAAGTGTCAGTTATTTTGTAATTACTTTATTACAATCTTATAGAACCATTCAACAAGTGATCTATTACCTCATCGAATAATCAAATTGTTCTTTGTAATTACTAAAATCTTCTAGTTTTGACATAAAAAAATGCACAGCTTTTTATAAAAAATTTATTTCAAGTGAAACTTAAAACAATAAAAATAATAAATTTGAGAAAAAAAATGTGAGGGAGGAGACAATTTTTGAAGAGTTTTTTCAATAAGGTTTTCCTAACGCAAATTCTTCTTATCTACAATCATAACATTAAGTGAAAAGGGTCTCCCCCAAAGAGTTACTCCTGAACTTTTTTTACTCTGTGATACTTTATAGAACTGGTTTAACATAGTATTAAATGTATTTTCAGTTATAGGTCGAAGTGGTATCCAGATATCCGTATGGAGCAACTCACTAGTTAGAGTACATCCCAGCATTTCTGGTTTAACTCCTTTAGCCCGCGCATTTGATATTGCATTATCGAAACAATGTTGAAAAATACCACCAAGAAGAGTTTCCGGGTCGGCTGGAATATTCTTTATCAAATATTTTGAATAGCTTTTGACAATCTTAAATTTTTCAATGTATTGAATATTATCCTCAAGTTTTTTAACATATTCTTCTGGAGCTCCTTCTCCTGTTTGATCTCTAGAAAGGAGATTATCAATAGAAAACGATCGCACGACTCTTGTAGGAAGATTAGACATTATTCAATAAAGCAAAATAATCAATAAAAATTTAAAAAAAGTAAATAAATGTGTTAGAAAAAATCTCCAACTTTTTATTCTCAGAGTTTTCACTGGATTACAACATTAATCAAAACTGACACGTCTTAAAAACACGCACATACACAAAACACGCGCACACCCCAAAAACACACACGCATACCTAAAATGTACGCGCACGCATATTTTAATAAAAAAATACGTAGATTTTAAAAAAATTAAAATTTGCACTTTCTTTTGTTTAAATATGCACTTTTACCCCCAAAATTAACTACTTCAAACTCCAAACTATGTTTTTTACAACTTGTGATGCTTAATTATGCACTTTTCTCCCTAAAATTAACAACTTCTAAAGGTTAATTATGCACATTGTTTTTTCAAACTCTTAAATATGCACTTTTCTCCCTAAAATCTACCACTTTAAAACATTAAAGTTGCAAATGTATTTTATAAGATATGACAATAATTTACAAAATTATGACAAATACATAATAAACACGAACACTGTTTGGTTAATTACAAAGAACAATTTGATTATTCGATGAGGTAATAGATCACTTGTTGAATGGTTCTATAAGATTGTAATAAAGTAATTACAAAATAACTGACACTTCAAATTTAGAAATTATTTTTTCACCACTGCTTACAAATTACCCTTCAACACCACAACTCTACCGATATGTCCTCATCATTTGATTTTACCAGACCCCTCTACTCCACGATGGTGATTGTTCAACCGCAAAGGAAAGGAGAGGATAAAAGGAGAAGAGAAGATGATACGAGAGGAGATGAGAGAGTAGAAGAGAGTAGGAAGAAAATAGAGATTAAACGAGTAGGAGAAAAAGAACGAGGAGAGGAGTAGGATATGGAGAGGAGGAAGGAAATAGTATCATAGAGGAAGAACCGAGAGGAGAAGATGAGATCAGAGCAGATGGGAGGAGTAGGAGGGAGGAGGAGGAGGAAAAAATAGAGAAGATAAGATTGGGAGGAGAAAGAAGGAGAATGAGGAGAGAAGGAGTAGTATCAGAGAGGAGAAGATGAGAGGAGTAGGATAGAGGAGGAAAGGAGAAGTCATGATCAGAGAAGATATGAGGAATATGAGGGAGGAGGAGGAGGAGGAGGAGGAAGAAGAAAATAGCGGAGAAGATAAAATGGGGAGGAGAAAGAATGAGGAGAGGAGGAGTAGTATCAGAGAGGAGGGATGAGAGGGGTAGGATATGGAGAGGAAAAGCTCGTTATCACCGACCTGTCAAAGTGATTTGACTTCAAGTCAAAACAAATGAAAAGGATTTGTCTTAAAAGTCAAAAAGTCGGCCACGACGACGACGATGATTCACAAATTACCCCTTAAACCACTTTCTCTACCCTCTCATCACTATTTGATTACAAGACTATTTTATCCATTTCAGTTATTGCCACCCTAGACGACGATGTCCACATTCAAAAGGGGTTCTCTTCCTTCTTCCTTTTGGTTTTCCTCTCATAATTAAATATTTCCTATTGTCTGACCCATCCTCCCCAAATATTGCCATTCACTTTTCTTTTATCGTATCTCTCCGCAAGAATTTTCCTCTCCATTTTGATTTTTCCCACAAATAAATGCACATACTCTATCGTTTGTCTGACCTCTCCACCACAAATCTTGGCCTCCCTTCCCACTCCACCCCAAGACTCTGCCAAGTTGTCCACTCCCTTTAGGTTTTTGCCGCGCGATCCCCCAACATGCTCTCTTCCTTTTGGTTTTACCAGACCCCCACCACCCCACGACGTTTTTTTTCCAGAGAAGAGAAAAGGGAGAGAGAAGAGGTAGGGAAGGAGAGGGAGGAGGAGTACGACGCCCGCGACATCAATTTTTCCCTCTCCTCCTATAGGTACAGGTTGGTCAGCTTTTACCGCACTAACTCGCGCTAAAGGTTTGAGCTTTGACCAGCCAGCCGCTCAAAAGGATTTGGCCTTAAGTCAAAACTAATCAAAAGGATTTGGCTTAAAAGTCAAAAAGTCACCCGCGACATGCCCTCTCCCTTTAGGTTTTTACCAGCCCCCGCCACCACACGACAGTGAGATCAAAAGGATTAGGTTAGTGACAGCCGCGACATCCCCCTACCTATGACTACTTTTGCTTTAGTGGCATTTTTAGCAAATATTTTCTAAATATTATTTTTAATTTTATTTTTTCATTATTAATTTTAAACTTTTAAATTTTATTTATATAATCGGACCTCACTAATTACAAAAAAATTTAAAATAAAAAATTGTAAGATGTTCACAATATGGGGACATCGCTTAATGTTAGTTATAGAAAAATCGAATGGGTGTGAATTATGGTCGATTGAAGTTATTCTTTTAAATCGGAAATGTAAAAGATTTAAAAGAACAACCAACAATCCCATCATTTTTAGTCTAAAATTTTAAAATTTTCCAGAAAATAATACAAAATAATAATCCCCAGCAACTTTCAAAAGGAAGTTCTCTTTTCTTGAAAGAACACAAATATAATTTTATATTTTCCGGAAATACAAAAATATTCCGGAAATAAACATTAATTAAGCAAAGAAAAATAGTAAGCTTCCCCATAAAGTATTAAAAATCCCCCTTTTCCGGAAAACTTGTAACGCCTTAAAAATTTAACTTTTCTTTATGAGAAACAATTAATTTTTCAAAAATTATTTTTTATTTTAATAAAAATTAAAAAAAAAAAGAAACTTTCTTTATGCAAATTAAATTTTTTTTTTTTCAAAAAAAAAATTTTTTTATTCCCCTTTCGCTCCTTTCTCTTATTTTTTTTTCTAGTATAAAATAACATCATTAGTTCAAGCCAAACAACAACAGCAAAGGCTAAGCTTCTCTTTTTTTATTTTAATTTAATTTTCAAAACCTTCCTTACCCACTCCAAAAAAAACTTTTTTTTTCTTCTTTCAACATTTTTTCACATAATATTTTACACAAAAATACTTTTCCCTTCCTTTTTTATTTTTCTTTTATATTAATGAAAAATGATGAATAAAGCGATAATTTGCTTTTACAAAAAATTGAATTTTAAAAAATTTTAAAATAATTTTTTTGATTTTTTATTGATTAGAAATCCAAATCTCTTTAGATTTTCTTTATTAAATTATTTAATTAACACTGCAATTATTTTTTCCAATTAATTAGATTTTTAGATTCTTTTTAAGTGTTAGCAACGCTTGGACGCTCGTTGATTAAATATTCAAAATATCCAAATGATTATCTAGTTTCATCACTCTTTCAATAATAATATGTATCTCTTAGTGTTATCCAGCCTCTCTAAAAATTTCAAAATTTTAGGTCCAATATTAAAAAGGTTATGGTCAAAAAATACAAAAAATGGGTATTTTTGTATTTTTGGGCCAATTTTGGCCATATTTTTCGAGATAATAAACCAAAATTCTGAAATTTTTAGGAGAGCTAGGTATCACTATTGGGGATATTTTTATAAAATTATAAATTTTTATTTTATCCCAAACATACTCTTATTCTACTACTATTATTCCCCTTGGAAAATTTTCGAATTTCAGTCTATCAAATTTATTAAAATTATTTTCTATTTACATAAATAAATACATCTATATACAAACTATATATCAATATCAAAAACAAATATCATCACAAAGGACAGACTTCAAAATTCTATAAGCCAAATTTGGAAACGTTTTTTCAACTTCTTCCCATCCTTTGCTTTTCAAAAAATTTTCTTTATTAATTTGAATATATATTTTACATCCCTTTAAGTTAAAAATATTTAAAAAATACTAAATCTGAGAAAGTAATTTACCTTCTCAAGAGTAGGCGCATCATATAAATTAATCATATCGCAATATTTCAGAATCTTTTCATCATCTGAAAAATTATTTTATTATTCCAGGCTGTTCTGTAATTCTATTTCCTTACCAATCAAATTAGTCATAAACACCTCACATTCATATTTTAACGGCAAAACTTGATATTTGTGAGCTATAGCAAAAATATCCTCAACATGCTTCTCCATCAAATTTTTGTTTATTTCGCCCGTATAGAAAAATTCCAGCATTGCCTGAACAGATTCTGGTTTGAAGTCCGGAATTGTGACTTCTCTCTAAAATTAAAAAAATATTTTTTTGAATTTTTTCAAATCCCTAAATCCCCAAGAATCAACTATCTTTCCCTTTTTCCTACAATCTTTCCCCTTTTTAAAAATAAAACACACAGTCACTCCCTCAATCATTTCCGTATGCTCGAACATTTTGCGGAATACTTTGCTATTCTTTGCTAAAATGCAGCGGTGTGTTTTTATGGCCAAATCTGCGACCTGGAAAAATAAAAATTTTTGTATTTTTAGATTGTTTCAGGTAAACTCCAAGGTCTCCAAGGGTCATTTTACGGATATATCTGACAAGCTGGAATGTTACACCGAGGTCTGATTATTTTTAAATTTCAAGTACCTTAATCACGCAATCCGAAAATAATTCTTCTTCCAACATATTACGATATGTAAATTTTAAATTGTCAATTGCATCGTACCAATCTACTGAAACTTTGCATTGGATACTTAAACCTGAAAAAGACATCATTTGGCAAGTTTTAAAATTATTTTACCATATTTAAGTATTTTGTTCCGAATATCATAAACGTTAGCATATCCCAATTTTTCTTGATTTTCAAATTTGTTTGTAGATCTGGAAAGTAAATAAAATTAAATCTGCTCTGAGGATTAAAAATCATTTAAAATTTTATGAAAAATGAAACTTCTACTTTTGGATGAGTAATATTCCCGATTTCGGAGATTTAAAGCTACCGAGAGTACTTTTTGCTTACAAATCTTAAAGCCCCATCTTTAGGTCGTTTTTGGCGGCGGTCGATGCAACCCGATTTTCGGGAATCGTGACAGCAATACCCCTAGTAGAAACAATACGGTGAACGAGAGCCCGATAATATAACTGACAGGTATGTCAATTCCTACCCGATGGCCAAACTTTTCCTTAACTCTCATTCACCATAAAAATAAAACACCTGGAAAGCACACGTCTGATATTGTCTTCGACCACAAAAATTTCATATTGTGTATTCACAAGACCATTCGGCTAAACTACAGTTTCCGTACCAGACTCAGAATTGGACAATTTATATGTCATTCGAAAGAGCTTGTCGAGCTGAGTCGAACGACACCAAAATTATTCAGCGGAAAAAATTCTGAGCCGAGTTACAGACCCCTAAAGTTCAAAAAAACAAAGGGGGGACCAAGCACAATTTTGGAGGTAAAAAATTCGAATATGCAAATGATAGCTCATTCGAAAGAGCTCGTCGAGCTGAGTCGAATGACACCAAATTCAACGAAATCTGACTCGATTGGACAAAGTTATGACCGTTTGTTGTAGCTCCTTACCTATAGCATCTGTGGAGATTTTTGCTGCTACGGAGGCCCCAAATACGGGCAGAACAAGGGAGATAGGAATAGGTTTATGTTACGAGCCCAGACCCAGCGCCCGTAGACTCCCCGCGAGGCGCGTGCCGCAAAACCCCGCGCGAAGCGCGGGGTTTTGCACAAGCGCCTCGCCGACGACCCATAGGTTTATGTTAGTAGTTTTTCTATCGTAACTTTGTCAAAACTTGTGCAATCAAGATGGTTTTGGTGTCATTCGATTCAGCTCGACGAGCTCTTTCGAATGAGCTATCATTTGCATATTCGAATTTTTTACCCCCAAAAAGTGCTTGGTCCCCCCTTTGGATTTTGACCATTTTGAGCCATATATCTCGGCTCAGAATTTTTTCCGCTGAATAATTTTGGTGTCGTTCGACTCAGCTCGACGAGCTCTTTCGAATGACATATAAATCGTCCAATTCTGAGCCTGGTACGGAAACTGTAGTTAGGCCGACCATTCATACTATTTGGCCCTAATTGGCGAAGATAAATAGCTAAAGTAGAGGTAGAAGGTTTCATCTCAACACATAACTCCCATTCCACTTTGGTAAAATTTGGATTGCCAAAACGTTTACCTTAAAGAAAAATTTTTTAAATTTTTGTTGAAAAGAAAGATTTACTTGTAACTATTACTGAAGGACTTTGAGAATAACAGCGTGGTATACCATTCCAAATCCCTATCAAATTTTCGACTGGCCATTTGACTTTGCAAACAATTGTGTTCATCTAAAAAAATTTAAATAAACTTTTTAAAAAAATTTATTTTTATTACCCTTTTAAACAAACAGCCCAAACCAAAAAGCGCAGAGAAAATAATGCAGAGAATTAAGTTTATGAACTTGTTTTAGAAATACGAGGATTAAAGTACCTTTATCAAAGGGGTGCTTTTATAGTAAACCAACTAAACTAAAATAAGAAGGGAAAAATTTAGACATTATGCCTATCTCTCTCCAACACATTGTTGAGATCCTAATATTCTGATCAGTGCTGGGTATGGCTCTGGGAGCTAGCTCCGGCGGAGCTCAAAATTTTAAAAGGTCGGAGCCCGGAGACAACAAATGCAAATACTCAGCACTGATTCTGATCTTAACTTTTGTACATACATATATTGACCGTCAGTAATTGACATATACGATTATGATTAAATTTATCAACGAAAGCTTTCATGCCCCATTTCTTCGAGTCACTTTCGGGCAATATATTTAGGATTTTCTTACTTTAAAGAATGTATAAGGTTGTGTAAGTTTTTCATTTTAAACACAATCATATCCACTAAAGATCTATGTGACTCTGATATTGAGTTTACCATTTTTTTTAAATTTTATTCTAAAAAGAATCATTTCTTTAATACTTCTTCAATTTTCTATTTAATGTCAATTACGAAAAGATACGGGCCATTTTTCTCGTACCTCGTATCAACCCTAAACCTCGTACTCATACTTCGTACCAGATACGAGCATGAGGTACGAGCATGAATTTTGGTACGACGTCCAATAAAAAAACTTGTTAAAAAATTATTTTAAAATATGTATTTAATTTTCTTCAAAATATATTTTTTATTAAAAAAATCAATATTTTCATAAAAAATCTCAGCTTAAATTAAATCGGTAAAAAATTAGATTTTTGCTATTCCAATATTTATTTCATGCCATTCTTCGGTGTCCCTGTTAAAATTAAATTTGTTAAGTAAGGGAACACATCGAATTTTTTTCTCCTATTTTTTTCCTTATATTTATTTTTTTTTCTTATTTTCATTCCTTTGAGTGCACTTTCAGACTTGCAAAAATTAAAAAAATAATTTTAACAAAAAAAAATATTTTTAAAAAATTATGTACATGTGAGGTTTCGGCAATATACAAAAAAATCTTCCTATATTCAGTATCGGTATTTCTGTATACTACAGTTATTTAACAAATACCGTGTTTCCTATTAGGGTGTACGGAATTTTGGTCACCGGAATTTTGGTCACCAAGGATTTTTGGAACTTTGGTCACCAACTTTTTTGGAATTTTGGTCACCAGCGGAATTTTGGTCACCAAGTCAAAAAACGGAATATTGGACACTGAAATTTTGGTCACCAATAGGAATTTTGGTCACCAAACGGAAAAAAATAATCTTATCTAAAACTGATATCAAAGTGATAAAAAATGATTTTTCAACCCCCAGTTGATCAATTTCAATGTTTATCACTCTTCCGGCTGATAACTCTCTCGGTTGATCACTCTCAATCACTCTCCCGGAAGATTGATTAACCGTGAAAGCGATCAACATTGAAAATAATCATCAGGTAGTTGAAAAACAATTTTTTATCACTTTGATATCAGTTTTAGATAAGATTTGTTTTTCCCGTTTGGTGACCAAAATTCCTCTTGGTGACCAAAATTTCAGTGCCCAATATTCCGTTTATTGACTTGGTGACCAAAATTCCGCTAGTGACCAAAATTCCAAAAAAGTTGGTGACCAAAGTTCCGAAAATCCTTGGTGACCAGAATTCCAGTGACCAAAATTCCGGCACCCTCCTAGTAGGTCCATTTAAATTCTCAACTTTAATAAAAAGGCAGTTAAGGCGACACTGATTTAAATATGAACGAGAAACCGAAATCAGCGAAATCAACAGGTAAAGGATGAAACTGGCACTTTTCTACTACTTAAGTGCTTTTTTAAATTTTTTTAAAAAGTCTTATATCCGTAATTGTTATACCCGCAGTTGTCGTACCGCCCACCAAAAATTTTCTTGTCCGTTTAAAAACAAAGGTTAATTATACAATTAATCTCTAAATTTATCTCTCTTTTTCAAGCCAAACATGTTTCTTTTTAACATTATTTTCTGCAAATTTTCTACCAGAAAATAAAAAATCCTTTTCATTAAGTATTCTGATTTTACTATCAGAATATCTTTAAAAATCGTCATTTTTCCCCTTAAAAATTGCCAATTTTTTGTGGTTTTTAATACAATCAATATATCAATAAATAAATATATATCCTTACAAGTGGCATAATATAATATTTTCTATTGTTTGTCAGCCTTTTTATGTTTGTGAATAGCGTGTGAATAAGCGGAATAAAAAAAGTATAAACGAAAAAAAGAGATAGAGGTAATTGTTGTTGCGGCTTGCCGATGCCTGAGGGGGCAATTGACGTTTCGGCGCAGGAAATATTTGGGCGCGCTTTTGCATAACTCTGTGAGAAAAGTACTTGGAAGCGTGAAATTTTGTAGATTTATCTTAGATAGTGTTTCCTATATTCTTTAAAAATTTCATAAATTTAGGTTTTGTATTGCCAAAGTTCTGGTCGAAATAATCAGAAAAACCAGAATTTTTCGTATATTCTCACTTATAATGTCACTAATACTTTACCAAAAATTCTGAAATTTCTAGAAAATTTTGAAAACTCTACCAAAAAACTCCATGAAAATTTTGAAAATTTTAACCTTACTTTTATCCGTTTTATAAATTAACGTCCAACCCTCTTACCACGCCATAATATCCTTATCCTCCCGCCCAGGCCGTTTTAGTTATTGTCTTTTCCTCTTTCTTTTTATTTCCACTTACACTTTTGCTTTACTTTTTCAATTTTCCCTTATGGCGATCCAGAGAGAGACATAAAAAATCTGTTTTTTTTGTCCATCAGGCATCGATTATTTTAAACTTATTTAACCAAAGTTTTAAGGCCAAATGTGAAAATCTCTCATTATTTTTGATTGACAATTGAAAAAAAAGTTGGGAAAAATAATGAGGAATTTTTTTCTATTGTTTATTAGCAGATATTTAACTAACAACTTTTACATATTTTTTAAAAATAGTTGAATAATTAATTTTATTTTATTTTTAGAAAATTAATTGGTTAACGAGATAATTAATTAAATACAAACATTTTGGGAAATTTTTTATTTGCCTTCCTTTATAAAAATAAATATTAAACTTTAATCCTTAATTTCCTAAGGGATAATAAGTTTATTTATTTCTAATTAATTGTTATTTATTTTTATAATTTTTATTGCTAATTTAATAAATATTCTGATAGTAATTTTAATTTTTGGTATGTTTTATTTACCTATCAGAATTATAATTATATTAGATATTCTGATTCTTAATTATTAGAAGATAATTCTGATTCTTTCCGGATTTTTAGGAATATAATTTATATTTT